AGATCGGAACCCGTTGTCGGGGTCCCTCCGTCGGGGGTGAGCGCTGGGTGAGCCCTGCGAGCAGCTGTGCTGGTGCTTCGTTCTGCCTTGCGCTGCCAGGTGTGCTTTACCTGGTGAAAATGCCCCTCGCTGAAGCAGTTGTTTTTTTTTTTTTAATCTAAAACAATGCAATGTAATGCAAACGCAATGTTTGCTACCCTCCCAAGCTCGGTGCTTGCAGCCAAGCCATCGGAGCAGCCTCGGCTTAGGGGATACATGGGGCGATGCTCAGCGCCGAGCGCGGGGCGGCGGGAGGTGCGAGCGGCTGAGCTGCCGGAGTGCGGCGATCTGCTGCAGGAACGGCCCGGGAAACAAGCAGCCACCAAAGCCACCCAGCCTCTGGGATCGGCCAGCAGAGCGGCTATGAATAAGCCCGCAGAGGAATGGCTTCTGAGGGACAGAAATACTGACCAGGGTACTGCCCTTGTGTACTAAGGACTGGCTGCTGTGCACAGTGAAGTTACAGCAGTCCTTCAGAAGTGACAGAGCGGAGAGCTGTGTGATGCTAAATCCTAGAATCCTATAATCCTTGAATGGCCTGGGTTGAAAAGGACTACAATGATCATTTAGTTTCAACCCCCCTGCTATGTGCAGGGTCGCCAACCACCAGACCAGGCTGCCCAGAGCAAAGGCTTCAGGGCAAGTCAGGGCCAGGTTAAATCCCAGGCTTGTTAAATCCCAGTACTGGCATAAGTAGTCACGAATCCCAGGCTTCCAGTAACATTATCACAAACTAAATAATTAATACTCAACCCGAATGACTAATTGGGGAGCAAAAGCATCACAGTCTGTCTGAGAACTATGTGTGTGTGAACCTATTGCTGTTCTGCCAGGTAACCTCTACAGCCGGCACATCCAGATTGACGGGGAGGTGCTGGCCATCCAAGTGCAGGACACCCCGGGTGTGCAGGTGAGTCAGATGCATCCACGCAGATTATCAAAGCAGCCCAGAGTTGGTGTGTGTGTCTGTCCACTGCAGCATCTTGTTCCGCTCTTCCTAGTGATGTTCTGCTGCCTGTTTCAGTGCAGAGCTCTGGGTGGGGGAGCTGGCAACCTGTGCCTAAGCCACAGCTGCCAAACCAGATGGGTTGGGTGCCTGAAGCTTGCTGGTAATGAAAAGAAACGGCTCACTGTTTTGGGTGAATCGTTTGTACGCTGGAGGCCTGTTGCTTTGGAATGGCTGAATTACTGAAGTGTCTTGTTCCCATATATTAGGAACATTAGATGGAAAAAAAACCCAACTCACTTTGTGCAAATATGGTACACATGTGGAAGAAAATGTCATGGCTACTTCCCAACAAAACTCATACATTTATATAATAAAAAGTGAAGTCTACTGTATTGGAGCTGTGTTCATTAAGATATTACGGTTTGAAGTTCTGAATGTATAGACCTGAGCAGTGCTGGATTTTTGCCTTTTTGAACTGGGCAACACTCCAGGTCTAAATGTTTCCAGCTCATATCTTTGCTTCCCCAGACTTGCTGTCTAGCCAGTTAATTTCCCATTCTGTGGAACTACAAAGTCTTTCTCTGCATGCAGAATGACTTGGGTCAATTTTCTGTTTGAGTATAGCAAACTCCAGTCTTAAATTCCATTTTTTTTTTTTTTTTTTTTTTTTTTGTAGCTGAATCAACATATGTATTTATTTGACACGCTCAGATTAAGTTTTGTACTTACAATGTGAAATGCAGATACATAAGTCTGAAGCTGTAAAATGCTGTTTAGATTTAAAGGAGCCTTTTTAAAGTCTTTTACGACCTCAACCATCTAATTTGAGACCATTCACTCTACAGATTCATGAACACAGCCTGGATTGTAATGAGCAGCTGAACAGATGCATTCGCTGGGCAGACGCCCTGGTGATTGTCTTTTCCATCACAGACTATAAGAGCTATGAACTGCTCAGTCACCTGTACCACCACGTTCGGCAGATGCATCCAGGGAATGCTGTCCCTGTTGTCATCGTAGCAAACAAAGCTGATCTCTTGCATGTTAAAGAGGTGGAGCCTCAGCACGGACTTCAGCTGGCCAACATGCTGGGCTGTGCTTTCTATGAAGTGTCTGTCAGTGAAAACTACAACGATGTCTTCAATGCCTTCCATGTCCTCTGCAAAGAAGTCAGTAAACAACAGACCACCAACAGCACCCCCGAGAGACGGAGAACTTCTCTCATTCCACGACCCAAATCGCCCAACATGCAGGATCTGAAGAGGAGGTTTAAGCAAGCTCTGTCTGCCAAAGTGAGGACTGTCACGTCTGTCTGACAGCAGGGCCAAGAAGAGGCATTGTTCTTCTCAACGTTTCTCCCAAGTTTGAAACCCGGGGTGTCTAACACTGGCATGTCTGCAGTCTGATGTTGTGACAGGATGGTTCAGGCAGCGTTCTGCATGGCTGTAGAAACGAGAAGTTGCTTGAACAATGAACAGTGGCAGATGGGAAAAGAATAAAAACAAACCAAAAAAACCCCCCACAAAAATAGTCTTGAAATGGCTCTAGGATGTAACTTGTAGAACAAGTATTTTCACTTGGAAATGGACCTTTCCAATAAATGCCTTTTTCTCTGATGGGACAGATCTGGCTTAATGTTTGTGCAGAGACAACCTTTTAGCTGTGACTCTCAACTGGTACTTGTTCAGGGAAACACCTTGAACTGTAGTTCACTGTTCAGAAGTAACCACTCCAGTTTTACAACACTTTCACTTGGATGGAGGACAGCATGATATATCTGTTCAATTTATTGCACAGTAGAGCTGTATTTCACTCGTATTTCAAAACAAACAAGAACACATGCAACTGTTCTGTAAAAGTAAGTGTGAAGTCAATGGACATGACTGGGTATCGTGACTGTGCACAATGCTCCTTTACTTTTTTACTGGCTATGTTATTGCTGACAACTTGACCAGACTCTTTGTATGCCAAACTATTGTGCATAGGGTGTAAACATATGTAATTACAAATATATGGTGGGTCTTTTTTACTGTCTGAAAAAACACTGTTGAGACTGAATGATCTAACACAGAGCTTTCTAGGAATAAGCCTGGAGTTGGAGTGATAGTCCATTACAGCTACCAGCGTGAGACACTTTTCTCCTCTTTCTTTCTTTCTTTCTTTCTTTCACTGGTGTATTTTAATAGGCAGAGAAAGAATCAGTGATTGAGCTTGATGTGAAGCATGGCTGCCCCAAGGCAATGAAGCTGGCTGTTTGTTCAGAGCTGAGCCGGTCCCTGTTCATCCTTAAACACATGTGGCTGACTTCAGCATTTCTTCTTATTTTATTTCCTACATTGAGCCAATGGAGTTCACAGGCTAAAGGCCTTACACACATGCACTTTAAAAAGCCAGTTGTGCTTTTGTTTGAACTGTAATTTATTTATTTTATGTACAGTTGCTTTCAGCATTAAATTTTGAATTGCGTATTTTCTCGTGTGTTCTTCCTATGTGTGAGAAACAATTGGTAATAGCCAGCAAAGCCTGGAGACAAAGTAATTGTTTTCTCAGAGTGGTTAACATACATTGCAGAAACTGTAAGAAGGTCTTTGCTGCCTGTGCTGTTGATTTATTAGCATTATCTGCAGGGGGGAAAGCTCTCATAACTGCTTTCCAACTTTTACAAAACTATTTCAGAAGACGTACTGAAAATTAAAATTGGATTCTTTATACTCCCTTGTCAGAAAACTCCAGCGAGGAGAGAATGAGGTAAGGTAGGTCAGTGTTTGGCAGAAAAATGTTTTAAGGGGCTTTTCTTTTGGTCTCTTTAGAAAAATATGCACAACAGCTTTATACAGGCTGGTGTGACAATGAAGAATTGAATCAAATTACTACAAGCCTTGAACTTGATTTGTTGACATTTAAAGGGTTTTAGGCTGGGCGTTCCTGAGGGGGGGAATGTTCGTGCTAAACCTAGAATGGTGCCATGCATGTTGTCCCCTGATTAGCACACAGCTCTAATGGTGGAAATACTGGTCATGCTGATGGTAATCTTTGATGTGAGCTACCACTCTCACCTGACCAAGTCAGGACTAGAATTCAAACACAACAGCCCCGCCAGTCTGAGCTTACATTCAAATGCTGTTTCACTGATTTCTGTGCCATTTCCTTGCGCAACGGTGGCCTTTGTTTTCCCTACCCCATAGCTGGTGAGCACAACTCTGTGTCACATGCAGAGGGCTTTGGCACTCCTTGCTGTGGTCCAGCACCCTGCACCCTCCCAAACAGTCCTGTGTGGCTCCTGGTCATGGACAGCTGTCAGGAGACCACTCATTGCCCACGTCTTTTCTCCAGCATATGCTGGAGCTACGTGTAGCTATGACAACTATTTTCTACAAATAGGAGATAATTATTACACCAGGGCCACCGGAAAGACCCCACTCCAGCCTTGGTCTAGGAGAGGAGTGGGCTTTTTGTGACTGTCTGCTTTCATCTCTTCAGCCACTGAGTACCAGATGGTGGCTGGATCCCAGCATCCATGGCCACAGCTGTGGCCACACTGGCTGAAAAGATCCCGTCAAGGGGAGCCTGGAAAACCAATCACTGCCTCAGCTAGAGGAGCTGCTTCACCCACAGGATGTGCAGAAGAACCAGTGTCTGCTTAAACCCTGCACCCCTCTCATTACCCTGCAGAGCTTGTCCTCAAATGGCCAGGTCAGAGACCTGACTCAAGAAAGAAAGTGGAAGACAGAAGGCCACAACTGCGAGCCTTCATCACTTCAGGAACACAGCAGCAGCTCAGAGATATGAGTGCCTGAACCTGCTTGATGCTGCAGAGGTCAGCAATGGTTGCAGGAGGTAGAAAAGCCTTTCTGCTACCAACAGAGCATGGAAACTCCTTGAGGACATCTACAAGAGAGAAGGTTTTGGTTCTTAGGGGTAGTCAAATACTGCAAGAAAGAGGGGTGGCAGGAATATGCAGTCCTGGTATGCATAGCCCTGTGTCCTAAGAGGGAAAGAGATGAGGACTGAGCATTGTAAAGGCACTGCTTTATTGATTACATAATTCACAAAACATCTACAGTCTAAGATTAAATGATATAGAAAGAAAAGGAAATGCAGAGAAAGGCTATTTGCTCTCAAGCTGTTCCGCTCAAAATATTTCTTGAGCTTTTAACATTGCAATCTCATAATATTTCTCATTTTTTACAGCACAAAGTTCCATTCTAAAGTCATTCTTATAAATTGTTCTTTCATAGAGGCAACATTGTCCATGCTTTATAGTTGGTCCTTTGTTTCCTTCTAGCCACTCAAAAGTGAATTTAAACCAAAATGCAGCCTTTTCTGGAGACCATTATAAACATTTAAGAGAACTCAAGCAGGCTACTAAAAAAAGGTTAAAGAGCTACTTCCTATTTAGGCTATTCCTTTGACATCAGAAAGAATGCTATATTCAAGCAAACTTCATCTATCACTTGACATTCTCGTTCTTAATGTGAGCTGCAGTCTTAACCTTTCTCGGATGAACCAAGAGGATGCAGCTTCAGAGCTCCTCCAGTTTTTGTTGCAATTTGAACATTTTGTGCTACGCACAATCACAGTCTCTATTGGCTAACGCTGTTTTATCTAAGATTATATCAATTTGTTAAAAAGAAAAAATTACAGAACTGAATGTGATAGCAGCTCTTTCATTATCATAAATGAAATATAAAAGCTGCTCTCTTATCATGCCGTTCAGAAATCTAGCTCAAAAAAGAACCTGTCACAGTGGCCTCTTGAAAATGGGAACATGCTTTTTTTTCCCCTCTTTTTTAAATGCAAGTGAGGGGAGGATTCTTCCAAGGTTACCATCACCCCATCACAGCCCATATGTCCTCCTTGTGTTAAACTGCAGAGAAGTGTGCCATCAGAAACAGCCTTTTCTCCTGGGATTGTGGGTGGAGAAACTAGAGCAGGAAATGGAAACCTGCGAGAGAAACAATCATGTAACTCAGCCCTCCATCCAGCTGCTCTACTGTGGCTGGGAGAGCATCACTGCACTGGGAGCTGCTCTGCCAGCTGAACTGGGGCTGTGCTCCATGATCCCTCTCTGGGTATAATGAGCAGAGGCTGTTAATACTGTATAAGACACACATCTTTTGCAGGATGACATGGCAGAGAGATGGATTTTGCTGCCCTTTTTCTCCCTCAGCAGCATTTCCCAGCAGAATCAACCCCAGAAAAACACTGGCATTACTTGCAGAGGAAAGTGCTGCTCAGGGAGTGCACATTCAGCCTACCTGGTCCTCAGTTTCTTCTTTTCTAGGGAGTTATTACAGACAATCATCCTTGTGAGTGCTGAGTGGAGGGGGTGATTCAGCACCACGCTGTGTGACCCTTAAGGAGAGGGTGGTACAGGACAAATGGACCAGCTTTAGGAGCCCCCTGTGGGCTGCACAGCTCTCTTGCAGTGAGGTACCCAGCTGCACAGTAGGGGACATGCTGCTTTTCAGAGGGCTGTTGGGAACAGTGACAAACCAGGGACTTGATGCTTCCAGCCAAGGCAGCCATCTATCTTCTCCACACATCCTCCCATGTCAGATATCAGGATCAGGTTGGGGATGATCAGCTGCAAACAACTGCTCAATAGCTCCCTGTGGGGTCAGGAGTGCTGAGGAGAGCACAATTACCTGTAAGAAGGGAGGAAAGAAGCAAGAAGTCAAAATTAAAGGGATCAAGACTGACTGCAGCATTAATGAGCTGTGATGTGGACTGTTCCCTTATCCAGCACAAGACACACTGTGTATTCCTGGTGTTTACTGACAGGGCCATGCGACCTGCCCAGCGAAACCGTCTGCTCACTAATAGCTGCAGTTAAATCACTTAAGGAACATAATGACTAGTAGCATTGTATTCTTAATGAACGTGTGCTTTGATTCACTTCTACCCACATGTACCCAGTGATTTGTTGTGACTGCCATTGTGTTTGCTGTGAGGCACCAAAGGAGCAGCCAGCAGCTTCCTTTCCTATTGCACAGGGCTTTGCCAGCAGGCAGTTTTGAATGACTGCCATTCACCCTTGTTTAAGACGGGACAAGAGTTACAGAAGTGCTGCTGCTCTGCTGTGACTACTGGGAGAACTAAAGCCCATGCTCACAGGAGTGTCTCTGTGGGCAAGACAAGTGCTCTTCTGCACATCAAGACCATGCTCCACCTCAGACACTGTTGGGATGCTGTTGCTTTTGTTTGGTCAGGTTTTTAACCCAAGCTGGGTCTAATGAATGAAACTGACACTCGCTACACCAATACACACACTGGTAGATGCACACCCTATCCATTTCTCTTGAGTGAAAAACAGCATGCAGGTGTCTATTGGAAAGGCTTCTCTGCAGAGCAAAACTATCGAGCAAGGAGGGAGCACATTCTCTCCCAGAGCTAACTCACACTCAGTCATAGGGAACATGTAGTCTATGCAGCCCAATATCGCAGGGGATTTGGAAGAAAGAATTAGAAGATAAGAAATGTACTACATTTAAACTGTTTTTTTTTTTTTTTTTGTTGTTGTTGTTGTTCTTTCTTTCATCTTCTCACTTCAAGTAAAGAAAGGAATCTGGAGCTCCATTACTACAGATTCCATCTGTACTGATGATAGCCTCTCCCTCATTTCTCCCTTTCCCTTACCCTCCCACACAACCTGCAGCAAACTGATGCTCTCTCTTCTCTTTCCTATGGCTGAAAAATTGTAGTTTGTGGATGGCAAAAGTTGATGCTGTCTTACCTTATGCATGAACCAGTGCATTGCACAGTACATCATGTTATAATGCAATTTAATTCTGAAAAGCACAAGTGGACATATTACTTAAGTTTTTTTGTATTTACAAGCCAAACATCAACAATAGCCATGTTCGGTTAAAAGCAATTTCCTCTTGGGTCCCAACTACTCATAGAAGGAATTTTTTCTCTGTCTCCTCTGGGTAAGTCTGAGCAGGACAATGTGCTTCCTTTGCAGACCTTCCCCTCATTTGGAACAGCATGCCTGTCCTTGATGCTTTACATGAAGGGATATACCTGTCCTGCTCCCAGCTGAAGCACAGGACCCAGGAACTCACAGACTGACCTTCTGCACTGCATGGTGCCTTTCCCATACACAGGGGAAGGAAAGATGCAGCAAGCATCTGATGGTGCATCTGCAGGGATTGATCTGTCCGTGTGCCTCAGCCACAAGCACACATGCTGTGCATGTGGAGAAGAAGGAAGGCAAAACATCACATTCTTTCCCCTTTTTCACTCTCTTGATTAAAGGGGAGAGAAATTTATTTCTTCCTTTCAAGGTAGGATACTTCTCACAAGGTTAGGAAGGGTATTTGGCATCATTCACAAACAAACAATGCACAAAAAATGCTGTTTTCTTTTGTGCTTCTCCATGAGAAGTAGATTTGTCATTCATATTCCTATGCAGAGCAGTTCTCTGGATGGAAACATGTCTCTTACTGCGCATTTAAATGTAATTTGCTTCAACTCCAAAGAACTGCTGAAGTAATCAGAGCATTGTGCCAGTTTCTCTGTTACTTTACTCAGTTCTTCATTTTTGCACCCACATGTCTCTCCATTTCTCCAAAAGCCAATAATTAGTATAAATGTCAGTGCTTTGTTTGAATGGAACAGACTTGTGAGGCCAGTGCTTCCCCCTTGCCCTGACGTCTGAGGCTGATTGCCTGAAACCCACAAAAAAAAAAAAGGCTGTTAAGTGCTGGCTCGAGTTAGACAAATGCCTGGCTTTTTAAAAAGAGAATAATCCCAAACAGGTGGCACATATTCACAGCTACAGTGCAGAAATCCAGGTAAATCCAACTAACTCATATAGTTTTCTATATGAGACTCACACAACTGCTTCTTTACTTTTTTCTTCCTCCTCCTGACTCTCCCTTGCAGTCCTTTCACCCCTAACATAGCACATTTTCACAAAGGGCACAGTGCAGTCAAAGCTTAAAATTCTTTAGGAATCTGCCTAAGAGGGTGACCTGCCACTGGGGTTAAGCCAAAGCAAAGCAACACCAGATCCCATGTCACCACTGTCAAGCCTCAATTCTCTCTAGAAAGCTACTCAAAAGTCTTGCTGCATAGTTCTCCACTGGCTCACTTATTAACCCTGTGCTTATCCTTCAGGTTATATTAATACATTTAAGGCGTGGATTAACTTGTCCATCAGTGTGTCACAATCCAATCTGTGTTCAAGAGAGGAAAGAATTTTATTCACTCTTTTGAGGAGATTAGCAATTGACTAACTGGGGTGAAACATGCTATCAGATGAAAAAAAACATCTCTAAAATAGAACCCAGTCTTAGAAAATACTGTTGCAAAGACAGCTGAAACACAGAAAGCATGCGATGAACCCAGCGGCTGATCAGCCTTTGGTTGGCTCTGTTTTGCTAACGATTTCTCACTAATCAAAAAAACCTTCCAGAGGAATTCAATAAGAGACGCTTACAAGCCATCTGGAAACTAGACTAGCGTTCAGTGGTCTAGTATTAAATGTGGAGATTGTGCCCTGCCTGTGGTGGGGGGGTTGGAGGTTCATGATCCTATAGGTCCCTTCCAACCAGAGCCATTCTGTGATTCTGTGTTTATGATGCATTTGCTGGTACAGCATTTCTTGAATCTCTCTGCAGTTAGTCTGTGTACTGCTACTATACTACTCAGTACTTAGCAGGCAACGAATTGCTCTTGTATACAATTCTCCAAAATTAACAATTATTTTTAACAATCTATGAATTTTTCAAGACATGAAAAAAGCTCCATTAGAACAATGCCAGTCTGCCTGGAGTGCCTCCAACCTGACACAAGTGGTGACTCTAATACACACAAAAAAACAGATCCTTGGTTCCTGAACACTTGTTGCCTACAGTCTTCACAGCAAAATTCCAATGCCATTTCTGTCCGTGTGGCTGTGTTTGGTCTAAGTCTGGTATACCAGTGCTATAGTCAACACTGTCTGATTTTTTTCATTCTTTGTTCAGATGAGAACATTTTGAATCGACTCTACCTGAGTACTAGGTTTGCGTGTTGCTACCAGATCCTTCACCATTTTGACCTCAGACACTGTCACACCACCAACCATAAAGATGATCAGAAGAGGATGGTCACCAGGGTGAGGGCGATTCACCTGTAAAATGAAAGAAACAATTATTTTAGTAGATCAGTCTACCTCAGCAGTGATTGATTCTTAGAGCTGCCAGAGGAAGACTAATGAAGAAGTTCAGAAATAGCCATAGAATCCTGGTTTTTGGAGCAGCTGAATCAAATAACGTCCAGTTAAAAGTCATGAGCCATTCCCAGGAGTATGGAGTCTTCATGGCTCCCAAAATCTAGAGATGTTTCTCAAGAGGCCTGAGGGCTTCTCCCTCCATTCATTCTTCACTTCTTTCCTTTCTTTCCTAGTGTGGGAGGACAGTACTTGGGAAGGCGCACCATTTGAATACCTATATGCACTAGGCTTTAAGGAATGGGAAGTAAATTACTATCTGGTAGAGGCAAGGAGTCCAGTTTAAACATGCAAGAATCCCTGCCTTACATCAGTAAATGAAAGAATCATAAATAATGTATTTTTGCTAGTCCAGTGAATAAGCCTTTATAATTCATCCAGTGAAAATAAGTCAGGTTCATTATATATAAAATCAGTTGCTTTCACTTCAAAGGTTTCATTATTCCTATGATTGGGTTGTAACTCATTTACAGAAACTCTATTCAAACAAAATACTAGTCTCGTTTTTTTTTCCTAATTAACTTTAAAATGGTACAAACGTTGAATTTCAGCTAATACGTTATAAAATCATGTTTTAATTTTAAACATGTAGGTGGTGCTATACATCAGCTTCCTCTTAACCACTTCCAAAAGTTTGATTACTTCGCTGCTTCCAACCATTCTTTCTGTCTTGAAAAAACACACTGCCCTGATAATGCCTTGCTCCCAGCTTCGACGAGCATTTGGAAGTGATGTCAATGGCACCCAGAAATAGTTCTTTTTACAGCACCACACGCCTTTCAGTGTGGAACACTCAAAATGTTTGGCTCTAAAAAGTGACGGTGAGAACAGCTGAATTTGCTCTTTAGATTCTCCACCTCCTCCCCTTCTGAATGCGTAGGATTTCAGCCGCCTTCATGTGTCAGAATGGAAGTGGTAATCATCCCATTCTTGAGTGGAATGCTCTTCCCTTACTTTCACCACCATGATAGATATCTTTGCCTCTGTGGCTCCAGCTCCTCAGGGAACAGCTCTTTGTGCTGATCTGTATTGTGCCTGCCTCACACATAGTCTTCGGGCAGCCCTGTCCTGCTTTTTGACTGGAAACCTTCGGAAGAGACTTCCTCCTCTAAAACACGCATGAGGGATGGCAAGCTCCCTCTCCAGTCTGGCTGATCTTTGATGATGCTGTGCTCCCTGTTAAATATTGCTCCTCTTGAGCTCCTCAGAAGTTGGAAACCAGTCCAAAAACATATCAACGTATCAGTGAGTGTGTATTGAGTGCAGATCTCCTAATTGCACTCACTTTGTCAGCTACCTTCATTCAGCTGATGGCACAGGTAGCATGTACTACAGTTCAGCAGGTTGACTTGCATTTCTTGTTCTATATTGAGAAACTGTCAATTTACACCAACAGACTAATTAAAGGAATATACCAGATCTTACAAAGACTCTCTGCACATAATGTAATGTCTGCCTTAAGCAAACAAACCAGCCCAAACCTACTGCAGATACCAGGAAGAGGCTAAGTAAAAGCAAAGTACCTATTTATAAAGCAAGTCAGACAGAACCATTACTTGCTAAGATCTTAAGAGTATTTCATGCCATAGTTGCTGTAAGTGGTGACTGTAAGGTTGAAGAAATAAATGCTCCCCAAAATGATGAGGATAGAGATTGACTAAACAAAATGCTTTGCTATGACACTTTGAAATAATACATGAAATAATATTACTCCTTTTCATGGCTCTTTACTCTTCTGAACACTGCTGCCAGAACAAACTGCTTCACTTCATTTCATGAAGCTCCTGAGTGACCCAAGGCTTACACAGAAAGCTCAAAATTTAGGAGCTTACTATTGAACAAAGCCTCTCTTACTATCTTCCCTGGTGACAACTTGTTATAAGCAAGCACACACAACACTAGACACACTGAAAGGACACCCAGTATATTAATCAGAAAACACAAGCAGTACTAGAAGAAAATGTCTTGACAAATCATTCAGTCAAAATAAACCCAGATCCAAACACGTGTTGTCTACATAAATCTTACTATTTTTCAGAAGACCGAAGTTCAAGCCACAAATTCCAAAAATGCATATTAAAAATACAACTAGGTATGCAAACTCAAAATCAAATTAAAATTGCAATGAAAAGGGTTTTGGAATCTGTAATCTTGTTATTCTATGCACAAATGTTTTGAAGGAGGACAATACTTTGGGTACAAAATATTTGGCTGTGCTAAGAATGTAAATTTCTGCCAAGATTTTTTGTTTGATAATGCAACCACCCCAGGCTCTCTCTTTTGAAGGAACTGGCTTCATGTAGCAAAACACAATTCATTTTTGTGTTACAGAAGAGCTGGAATGGACTGAAACAAAAGCAACGCATGCATTCTGGAGTCCTTCTAAAGCTATTTTGTTTCAGGACGTTTCTGAGGCATCTGAATTTCATTTAGTGTAAAATATGAATTTTGCAAAAGTTCCCAAGTGAAATTTACTTTCAGTTCAAAATATCATGCATTAAAAATAATTGGTACCATTATCTCAGGCAATTAAAAACACTAAATAAGAAAAAAGCAAAACCCTGAAAGCCTCCAGCTGTGACAGTGGCACATAAAGAGATGATATACTTGAAATTTAGTCAATTGCTGATGTCCTGCTTCCCCAGACTCTATAATTGCCATGGAAAATGGCCTGTAAAACCTTTACTGGCTGCTGGGCACGCAGGTCAGAGGGGAAGGGCTGCTGCTTTAAGGGCTGCCTGCCTGAATTACTGATAGAGCTGAGAAGAGAGTGCTGTCTGTCAGGAAAACCCCCATTAGACTGAAGCAAAAGGGACCAAAGGAAGAAGAAAGAAGGAAGAACGCCTTCCATGTTTGAGTTGGCATTTATATTCATGCATTGAGAAAGAAATATAAATTTGAAGAAGTTCATCAAATAATTACAGTGCCGATGCTGCAGTAAGTGTAGAGATGATCTTGTGTCAGAAATACAGGCTGGACTCATTCATGCAGTAAACAAGGACTTGCCAACAAGCCAAAGTAGCAACTAAATGAAGAAGCACAGACAGACTATTGTGAGATAAGTGATGGTGTCCATGAAATATTCATCCTACACGATGTTCACTTGGCCATCTGTTATATATTCCTTACAACAGTTTTTTGTTGTTTGTTTTTCTTACTTGCAGAGATGCAGGCACTTGAGGTACATAAAGAGATGCCCACCTCCTCCTGCAGAAAACTCATTTTAGGATTACAATCCCCTCAATCCCATTAAATTTTCAGGATACATGTTGCATTTTTCAAGAGCTCTGTTGTTCCTGCTTGCAAGAAGCTCTCTGCAAACAAACTTTTATTCTCTTCCTCTTTGACATCATGCAGTTAACAGAAGTAGAGATGCTGGCTGTCACACAGATCAATCCTTTCCCACTCCTTCCCTGTACTCCCCCATCTGTTTGGATTTTGGTTAATCCCATCATTTTGCAAGTTCTGATCTTTTCACCCAAGTTGGCACAGCAACCAATAGTCTAATGGGAACTTTATGATTAGGATATCACTGTAATTCACTTAAGTGTCCCAAACACAAGAATTAATAATATAGAAAGAAAAGACCTAAAACAAGCTAAACCTGTCACAGTTTCCATATAGACATTTAGACTTTATACGTGTCTTTTTTTTTTTTTTTTTTTAAAGGACAAGCTAAGTTCCTGCCTCAAAAAATAAAAATGACTAAATGCAATTGTGAGAGTTAATGATAAATAAATCCAATCATTTAAAAAAAGTCACTGGTGTGCACAAGCTTTCTTGCCTTGTTTGATGCAGGAACATCTGTTTCTTCTATTTTTGGATGGCAGCAGCATGATTTTTTTCAGTATGAATACATGAATAAAAACAACACTGGGTCACTCTTTCTATAGCTGTCATCTCATAACTCAGGGCTTTATGATAAGCTCTGAAGAGCTAAGAATTTCCATTTAGTAACCTAGCTAAGTACATTCTGAAAATCCATTTCAGCAGTAGGCACAAGTTCCTGAAAATAGGCATTGTATTTAGACATATCTGATTTTGTCTTCAAGACAGCCTTCTCTGTAATAACAGAAAAATTCCTTTGTTATCTTGATAATGGGTTCTAGAATAGAACCAGCACACAAATCAAAGTTATTTTTTGTCACCTGTCTTTAGATGCATGAAAGGCCTAACAAAGAATAGGAAAAAAAATGTTTTTCTTTTCAATTATCACAATACAACAGAGGCTAGAAGCAATCTTTAGATCCCATCTAGTCCATTTCCCTGCCTAAAGCAGCGCAGACTTCAAAATTACACTGTGATGTTCAGGGCTTTGTACAGCCAAGCTCTGAAAAATCACAGAGATGGAGAATCCATCCAGTCCCTCTGGACTTTCTGACTGATTAGCCTCCCTTCCTCCCCACTGCATGTTGAACCTCATCAAATTATAGAAAGAGCATTGAACATGGGGCTCCTCTGCTGATCTTCTTGCCCTGTAAGACCTCTTTGTTCTTAGCCTATCTCAAGGCTGTCCATTATCCACAAAATTCCTTGATGAACTGTCTTGTGCAATGCCTTTTGGAAATCTGGGGACTTTATACAAACTGGCACTTGCTTACTAATTTGCTTGCTAACGTCTCTGAAGAGCTCCAAAAGCTACATGAGGTTGGACACCCCTTCATTGAAGTTTTATTGAAGCCACACTGGCTCCTCCCAGACATATCACCCTTATTTGCGTGCCCAGTACCACCCTGTATAGTCAATGAATATAAAAACGCTACAATGATGAAATAAACAAGAGTTCAGCAAAGCAGATTATAATAACAAAAAGAGAATAGATAAAAAGCTTATCCGTATCCTAGGCTCACTGCAAAACTCCAGAGCAGATCTCCAGAAGAGATCCTTTCCCACTGGTAGTCAGCTCTTAAATGGGTCTAGGAGAGGCAGAGCCAGGCTCCACCCCTTCCAGCAGCACAGGTGAATTGCCTTCACCTGTGCTCCTGTGCTGACTCATTGCTCACCTCAGGTGATCAACCAGAGGTTCAGGCCTTGATTCAGCAGTTCCCATACACACCCTTTCTTAGGTGTCCAATCTGCTCCATTCTCCAGGTGGTAATATCCACTTATTCCATACCTGCAATATGGTACCTCAATCTATTTCCAGCCCCTCTGCAAGGTTTTAACTCTCCCGACTGTCCCTTATGCTTCCCTCTACAGAATTAAATATATAAAATCACCTATTGCCATACAATGTTATAAACTTAGGGAAATTTTACAGATCAACTTAGGAAACCTTATTTACCTTCATGAACATGCTGAATCCAGTTTTAAGTAGATCGGTGAGGCCTGATGACATATGCTCAATATCAACAGAATCAGGTCGATCGGCACTGCAGATCTCTTCCACCACCTGTTTTAGCAGTGGTTTGTAAGAAGCCTGCACAAAAAGAACAACACGCTGTGAGTAAAGCTGTTTAGGCTTGGTGCAACTGCTCTTCTAAATCTTCTATTTCCATTAAAGGAAACAAAAAATATTTATTCTAGAAAGAAAGCAGCACAGAGGCATTTAAATATTTAAAAATGCTTCTGTGGCAGCAGTGTTTTTTGTGACCTTAACAACAAATGGTGTGCACCAGCACAGTATTGAATGGAAAAGTTAGGAAGAAAGCCCCATATTTATTCTACTGTATGTGTACTATATGAGTAAAGGCAGGCTAGGAATAAAGGGGGGCTTCTAGTTTCTCAGGAGTGTGCTTTGGGATAGTACAGAGGGGAAGAGCAATAGGGATAATTCTCTGTTGTCCATCATGTACCCATGTCTCATTTTCTTTGGAATAATTTTATAACATTTAAACAGGGAGTTGTTGCTTGCTGACCCCTCCTGCCTTCCTACAGGTGTCATGTCATCACTGAAGTCTGGATATCAGCAGGGCTGATATCTACGGAAGGCCTTGAAAAAGAAGGGTCCCAAATCCTGCCAATATCATACATGTCAGTGCTTCAGATATGTTAAGGATCAGGAAGAGCAGGACGTGCAAAGGTGCAGATGATCTGCATCCTGGGATACTCTTAATAAGACCAGCATTTTAGCCCTAAAAAATGGTAAAGAGCCTTGGACAAAAGACCAACTAAGTAAGAAAAGAAGGTATATTTATAGAGGAAAAAATAGGGTGATTACATCAGAACAGGATGAGGAAAGATGTGTAGGGAGAGAATTTATTAAGTCACTAAAGTCAAGGAAAATGGCATTCACTATGAATGGGAGATGCCACCCCAAATATTAATGTCATCCACAGACATATCCTCAGTGAATTGAAAAACTGGAGGTGTGATAGCCTTATTACATGGAGCAGTATGTTTAAACAAGTGGGGTTTTCTGAATCATCCAGGCACTGACCCAGTGAGTTAACAAGATTAGAGCTCTGTTCCCATCTTCAAACACACCAAGCATTTACCATGCTATGTTCTTCAGGGACCACCTTGAAAACGTTTCCACAATAAGAATTTTAGGGAATTTTAGGATCTTCATTAAAGATCCTCTTTAATGAAAATTCAGCCTTATTTGATTTGCAGATTGAATTTTGTTTTGCTTCTTTGAACCTTGCCAAAACTGCTAGGGAGCCACAATAGTTTCAGGAAGTGCAACAGTCTTTGAAAATTAGCAACTTTCCAATTGTTGTATGTTTTCCTTTGGGACTAGTGCAGGGATGCATTGGCCCTGGACTTCTTAAGAGAATTAAGTATAACGTCATTCCTTTTGTAGAGAGAATGCTTTTGTAAAGGGACATCATGCAAGATAAACATAAAATAGCTGGAAAATAAAAAGCTATCGGCATGGTTATCTAACTTGAAACTATAATTTTTTAAAGCAATTGAAAAGATGTTTTTCATGATTAACAGTCTACAGTGAGAATAAAAGTACACTTTTTGAATACAGTCTTGACAATGCAGATTTATATAATTTATCTATTTATTTTCACAACATGTGCATATTTTTTAATTGAGCCAGTAAATTGCAGCAGACGTTAACTGCAATATCTTTCAGTAGAAAATAAGATTTGTGTCAAATCTAGTAATGCAATAAACAACTGTTTGAAAATATACATGTGAGCATGACATCCTATTATAAAGATCTGTTTAATATCCTCATAGATGAGAAACAGACATTGGGAATGAAATACTTGGAGCAAAGATCAAACCATAGTTAAACAGAGAGACTTACTGTACAAAATTAAAGGATAAATATTATCTGACTTCAGACATAACTATGTACTGGAAAGGCAAGGCATTAAAAATGTTCCATGATTTTACATGTCTGAAATTTCAGGGACAAAAGTCAGACACCTTCAAAATGATACCAAAGGCAGGTTTCACTATTAATGCTTTGATAACTTCAAAAACTTTCAAAACCTTTTATTACTTGACATTTACCTACAAAAAATTTAGCACATTTTAATTCTATTTTTATACAATAGCTTCATAAATTTCTAATTCTTGTAGTGAAACTATTGGAAATTTTAATTTCTCGTGTCTAGTAGGGCACAAAATGTGTTACAATAATTACTTTAAATCTCTGTGGCTATCACACACATCTTAGACATGATTATAAGGAGAAGAAAAGAAGAGAGGTGAGGAGAAGGAAAGATAGAAAAGAGGGAGAGAGGAAAGGAAGAAAATAGGAAGGAAGAAAGTGAGGAAAGAAGAATAAAGAAGGAAGAATAAGGAAGGAAGGAGTGAATATATGCAAGATCAAGATAAAAGTAGTTACATATCAGTCAAATTACATACTCTTGTCTTCCATGGTCACAACATTAACTGGTTTGATGATCTGATGGAAACATTCATCCACTGTTTTATGCAAAACTACAAATTTCAAAAGTCTTTCAAAGAAGCTATTCAATTAAACATATGCACAGAAACCATTTTTTGATTCTTGAGACACGGAGGCTTCCTTGCTCCTAACATATGTAGCAGAAAAACACCTATAAGCTACAGCCTATAGATTTCATCAGGTGAGCTAAATTGCTGTGTGCAAACTATGTGGTACCATTTGCTAGACAAAAATATGATCCTTTTGTAAAGAGATGTACGGCACAAAAATGTACTGACTGCTTATTTCAGCTACTCTAAATCTCCTAAACTGCCCTCAGCAGAAGGTTGTTTCTATTCAAGATAATTAAACCCACTCTACGGCCAGACTGGGTGCTGCAAACAGTTAATACATCCCTTGCTGTGTTCCAGCACTTAGCCCTAAGCAAACAGCCTGGGTTACATCCAAAGAACATAGTGATGCTAATTACACTTTAGGTAACTTTCAGAGGTCATTTTCTTATCATCTGACTGCCCCTACATTGACCTGTTTTAAACACTGAACAATTTTCCTCATTTCAGACACCAGACTGGTCATAAGTACTTGTAGACTTCAGTAACAATTCAGTAACCCACCTTGGCTCTCCAGCAACATGTTGAAACAGTCCCCACTCTTGCTGTTGCAAAGCCTTGCTTAATTTGGACCATGTCCCTTTGCCAATCTACAATATACTTATGAGTCTGGAGCAATATTTTTTTTTCTGGCTTAAGGCTGGAATCAAGTTTTACAGTCTCTCTAAATCACTGTATGTGTTTCCCACTCTGAGCTCAACTTTTAACTGAAAAAAAAAAAAAAAAGTTAAACACTTCAATGGATATGGGAGAAGAGAAAAACACTGCAAAATAGTCCTGATGACCTGCAGTTCACGTGTTCACTTTCTATAAACAGAAGCTGTTTTTCTCACCTATTCACAAATGGGATTGCGTCTTAGTTACAGAAATGGGAGATAAAATACACAGAAATACAGCTGCTGTCTGGACACAGGCATCCTGCTTGGATAAGACATGAGAAGCCAGTCCAGTTGCATATTGACCTTCTCCTTTAAATTTAAATTATCTCACAGAGCTACAGAGGAAATCCCCATTTTCTTCATCAGATATCTTTATTGACACGGACATGGATATGCATGAATTTGAGTGAAGGACTTGATGATTAGGTCAATTATAAGATCTCATAAATCTACTGCACATGGACAGAACCCATATAGGATTAGCACAGCAGCAAAATCAGTGCTGCTCATGAAGCTGGAATTTTGACAGCCTTCTATAGATGCAACAGACACATAGAAAAGGAAGATTCACTTGCCTGATTGGTGTTGCTGCCTGGATTATGTACAGACTTAAACTGCTTCATATGCATTCGAGCTCTCGCAACATCCTTCAGCAACTTAAAGATATTGTCCACTGCATCTGTGGCTTTCTGGGATGTTAGATCCAGTGCCGAGTTACAGCCTAAAGAAATAAAGAAGCATAAATGATAAACTTTCATGCACTTTGATAATAAGCAGTAGGAAAAGGCTAAGTGGGAGGAAAACGCGAACAAATGACAGAGAACAGAGCCTCTATGCACTAAAGGTACACAAAAAAAGGCAGTAGTATCAAAAATTCATAGGGAAGTCTCAATAGTAATCTAATCTGGATCGCCGTCCTTCACATCTTTGCATTTTGTATTATATCTTTTATACTATGCACTTATACTATAAAATATCTACACATACATATGCACTTATACATAGGTCTAAGACCACTCCTGAAATATGTTTATCAGATACTGAACTTTCCTTTGTCTGAACTTTATTTCATGTAGGACTGTGACTTGGGTCACCTGCTGGTGCAGCACAACAAAGCCAGGTGGCTGCATGCTTCACGCCTGCAGGGCCACACCACGTCAGGGTGCTGCAGGTCAGTGTCACTGCAACCCCCAAAGCAACTGAGTGAACATGGAAGGAGCCTTGGTGACTCTCATGCTGTAATTTTATTGGCAGACACTTGTGTATTTTTGATAGGGCTCTTGATATTTTTTTTTAATGAGTGAAAATAGCTTACAGAAATATTTCTATTTGTTGTGTATGTGCAAGATCTGCATGCTCTGATACTCCGATTGACTAACATCTAGATATTTCATTCGGTGGAGGAGCCTAGGTGTTGTCTGTGAAGTATTGAACACACAAACCCACTCAGCAGCTCATCACTCCAGTCTGTAAGTACTGTCACATCAGTGGTGCTCTCACAGTCAGAGGTTCCTGTGAGAGATCCTATGCCAGGTTATATGGTGGAGAATAGTGTTCAACAGCTGCAAAATGTGAAGCTGGGCACCCCTCAGGCCAACAAGGCTTACAAATAGAGTCTGAGGCCACTTTATAGTGCTTTATATTTATCACCAGCTCAGGCCAAAAATATTCATAGAAGATCTTGCATTGTCAGTGTGCTTTTAACCTACCCATGGGAAAACACACAAATGAGCAGACAGGGAAGTTACTGTTGGCTCCCAGCTCACAGGCTGGAGATATTTAATTGCTCATGTTTCCAAAGCAATTTGCAAATGAAAAATAAAATGAAAAGTTGTCTCTCATCATTGTATAAATCGATTTTTCTTCTCTCTGAGACAAGCTTTCTCTTTTTTAGCTGCACCGGAGACAGGCAGCCTCTAGCTACCTACGTTTATACTGTCATTGTGCTCTCTGCAGCCTCTCTGTGCAGCTGCCATCAGTGCTGGCCAGCCCTGCTCTGGCATGTTTGCTTTGCAAGTGAACACAAGGCCCCATGCCGAACAAGTTCAGGCAAGGTAAAAATCACATCAAGTATGCTTTGCTTTGGAAACTCTTCTCATTTCTAATTAATTGTTTATCTTCTTGGGCCATGTAAAAGCCTTTTGCTCTCATTCTATGGTTATTTTTCTCATTAAGAGAATTGTTTGTTTCCTTCTCCTGTTGGCATCACCTCTCTGTCTCTTTATTTTAAGAAGAGTGTTTCTACCAAGATGTTTCCACCCATCTTGTCACTCCTCATTCCTGGAACCACAGGCTGCTTTCTAGGGGACACAGCCTAGCTGCGTGCCTAGAGCCACTGAGATGCACCCAACTGCATCTGGACTGTTACGGGCCCAACCTGCTCCTCAGCAACTCCTCAGCAGTCTGCTTACACCTCGCTGAGGGGAACAGCTCTGCTCTGGTTTCCCTGCAGGTGGCTGCAAATCAGAACCAGTTCTCACTGCCCCAGCGCGCACATAAGGGAAGCAGAGCACAGCCCCTTTTCTCTCCCTTCTCAGTGCTACTGAGAAACTTGCTCCTATTCCAACAGTGAGGAGGTGGAATACACTAGCTGCTGCACTGCTCTGTGCTAGTTACAACAACCCCTCCTGTTACAGTGCTCTGTTTTTTTGTTTTTTTTTCTCACAGAAAGTTAGCACTGGGAGAGCATGAATGAATTTCTTTGAATCCCAAGCTCTATTATATATGAGAAAAGCCTTTAAAAGAAAATATCTGGACATGGCTTTCCTGTCAGAGTTAAAGACCGGTTGTGGAAAAAAGAAAATCACCATTAACCACTGTGGGATTAAAGCATTTAAAGCATCTCAGTGATATCTCAAGAAGAAAACAAGCTGATGTTGTGCTAAGTGGGGCCATAAACTGAACCAAACCAGTGTCTCTACAGATTTCTGAAGTCAGGAGGAATATCATTTTTAAGAAAAGGAAACACACTGTGAACCCATGGTCTGTAGTTATACAGTGGCATGTGGTTATTCCTTGTTTAAAAGCAACAAAGGAGAATTTGTGAACTGTGTATCACAAAACCTTTCACTAAGCTTTGTCTGTTTTGACACAAGGCCCAGGTGCTATAAACAAACCTTCTCTTTCTCAAAAGCAGTACATTTTGACACATTGTGAAGGTCTTGAATCTTTTGAGACACCACAAGAAGTCTACACTGCTTTCAAAATCCAGAAGTTAAGAAACCTGAAAGTTTATTGCTTTACTCTGTTTTATACCATAAGGCTGTCATTGCTATTAACTAGACTCTCTCTAAAGCCCATTTACAAAAATAAACTGATATAGACCCTGCAAACCATGGAGCAGAGCTGTTGGAGTAGCTAAGCCATTTTAGCAGCACATACTGGAGCATGGGCTAAAACAGAGAATTGACACATTGAAGAAGCTAAAATCCAGCATCAGGCTTGCATTATGCAAGTTATTTTCTAGGTACGTACTTAATCTGCTTTTAGCAAAAGGCAGAAAAAGAACAGAGGTACAGGGCATCTTAAGGATCAGAACTCAAAATATAGCAGTATGATACAAAACTAATGAAAGTCTTCCATTTTCAGACTTCAGATGGTAGTATAACAATAGGGATCTTTATTTTACATGCATATAAATCCAAAGCCATACATACATATACCCACAGCCATAAGTTTAATAACATGTTTTCAAAATATTCATACACTGTTATGAAAAAGTAGGTAGAAATGTATATGCTTACACAGACCATGGTTGCGTTTTGCAAGGTGAAAAAAAAGTGTTAACAACTCAAACTAGAACAACGTTTGTGTGACTCCCCATTCACTCTACTTCCTCATAGATTCTGCCATGCACCTGCATGTTATTTTCAAATCTGATTTGTACTAAATTGTGCTTCATGCTGGCTCTCAGTGGGAAGGTGGTAACCAAGTATCACACTGTTGGACAAGGAAGGATACTCTAGAATATGATTGCTCTTATTTTCCACCAGCAATAATGGCAGTACATGAGAAATGAGAATTTCAATTTGGGGGATTAAGGAAGAGAGGTGTGTTCAGCTGCCCTCCAGAAGAGAGCATCCAGAGGGCACACAGAGCTGACAGCCTTCCTGCGTGCTTGGCACATCTCTGCCCCTTGGGATCGGAAGGGTTCTCCCTCTGTTCCCTCTGTCCTTGCATCTCCAATGAGAACAAACACAGTGAATTAAAATTGCAAGAAATCTGTCACTTAGGAAAAAACAGAGGAACGAGCTCCTGCTCATGCATGGTTAGAGGCTGTGAGCATTTTGAGGTACTTTGTCAAATCTTAAGTTCTGAAGTTGCACTTGCAAAAACCTGACCACTTACCACTGTGGTCAAACACTGATTTAAGATCTACCTTCAGAGAGGTTGTGGGTTTTTTTTCTTCTTTTTTTTTTCTTTTTCCTTTTTTTAATTATGGCCTCAGTATCTGTCACTTGGACATTTCTGTTTTATGGTAATATTTTATTGCCTCCTCTTTGCCAAAATTCAATAGCAGAACATGTAATGCCAACTTTAATGAGATACTGGAAATTCAGTATTGGAGGCTCTCATGTTACATGAAATTAAACCTGTCAGTTCTGAGAACATTTACATGGAAAATCTACACTACTTAGTAGAATAAATTACATACATTAACTGCAGGAGAAATTTAAGCTAGGCTCAGATGTGCTTTTTGAAGGAAATTAATGCAACAAATTCATTGGGGAACTATTCAGTTGCTCCCTCAAGTGGTCCATATCTTAATTAAAAAACCACACATGTTAATAAAGTTCCAGTAAATGCTCTGTAAGCCTAGTAATGTCTCCCAATAATGTTCATACAAAAACTCCAGGTTGTACAAAATGATGTAAAACATTATGAAAATACCACCCCGTAGCCTAAACAACCAAATGACCTCAGTCTTTTGCAAAGGTACCCTCCTTTTTTCTTCTTAATAATTTTAAAGTCTTTTTATTTATGTTGACTACAAGGAATCACACTTCTAAAACAACAACAAAGTGAGATAAATTTTTCAGTAGTTTTGTTTAGTTTTCCATCTTTAGCTTGGACAATAGCACTGCATGCCATCGATGGTTTTTTGCATTTCAGATTTGGTTGTGCGTTCCTCATACTCCCAAGGCAGGAATGGTTGGAAAACATTTCCTTCTGAAAAAAACGACTGCACTACTTAGATTTTTAAAACATGCATGAAATCACTGTAACTTAGAGTCCTAAGAATGATGGTTATGGAGAAATGTCCAAGTGATGCTACCTCTCCCAATTTATGTTCTAAGCCAAAGTGTAATTCAATGTGCTTAAACTGGTGAAGGCAGCTCTACAATAACATAACTGCACAGAAATGTAAGATGACAATTACAATGAGGAACTGTAATCTATTTATCAGCTACTGTAGAAAAACAATATTTTTATCAGGAAGACAAAAGTAATTACATTTTAATGCTACATATAATTATCTGCTCAAAAAGGCCCCTTCACCCAGAATGCTATAGAACAGATGAAACACCATCTGAAAACTGACAGGGATAACAGGCACTTAGGCTGCATTCAAGAGTACATAACAATTCTAATTTTATTTTTCTCCTTTATTCAAACTAACTGAACTATGGTCTATTCCTTAAGTAACCTTTCTTTAACCATGCTCAGAATAATATCCTTGTTTCTTCTTAAAAAAAAAAGCTATTGATTATAGCTTAAAAT